CGCAAACCGACTTGTACTGGGAAATACTCTAATAATGCCAGTTTTGTGCCTCCGAAACTGAAGAGAAACCTGGTACAAACCGTTGTTTATCGAGCAAAGAGAATTTGTTCAGCAGGCTGTTTACCTCACGAACTGGAAAGTATAAGGCAAACACTGTTTGACAACAGCTATTCAGAAAGATTCGTTCTGAAGAATTTGAAAGAACAGCCACCGAGAGCACCACTGACAACAGTTAAAAGAAAAGCACTCTTCCTAATAATTCCTTTTAAAGGAGGTTATAAGTCAGAGTTACTACAACGCCGATTGGAAAGGCCATCGCTCGTACTTTCCCTGCTGCAACTCTACGTACTCAATTCGCAAGCCGACGAATGGTTTCTGCTAATCCTAAAGATGCATTGCCTATCCTCTCCTCGCGCATGATTACTTACCAATTTATTTGCTTATGTTCGGCGTGTTCTGTAGGAAGAACGATCAGGCAATTGTCGCAAAGAATCAAGGAGCACAAGCCGGCGTGGCTGAGTACGAGCATAAGGAAAATAATTACAAGTGCGGTGGTAGAACACGTTGCAGACACGGGTCATCAAGCAAACGATGACGCATTCAAGGTGATCTGCAAAGCACCAGCAAACCCATCTAAGGCTGCTCGTCAAGGGCACCTTGCTACAGTGAAGTGGTGGCTATTCGCCCACTCCATCCATCTCTTTGTTCTCACAAGCGATTCGCTCAGTCACTTCGCTTACCCTGGCCTCAACCTGACAGCCGACCGAAACGACCGTCACCTTTGCCATGACCTGTGGGCGCGGATCTGATATATATATGCGACTGTGAACATTAACGAAGCACACAGTAATGACAAACTGTGCTCTTTGATTTCCAAACCACGTATCATAAGAACACAGTCGACCAATCATATTTATCACATCAGACCACTTACCGGTTTGACAGTTTTGAACCCTATATATAAATGTATAAACCCGCGGAGGAAGCTATCGCATACGAGCTTTGTTCGCTATAGTTTTTTGTCAATGCCACAATGGGAATATTCAGTGAATACTCGGTAATCGTTTGTTACTTCATTAATATATTTGTACGTTTGAAGTGTAATTGACTTTACGTGTGATTCGTGTATTTCACACATGTCTGAATCCAGACTATGTCAAACAAATCATAGTACAATAATCTTTATAGAAACAAAAATATTCTATGATTTGTTGATGGGCGGAATACTGTCAGGCTACCCAGGTCAAGATAGGTGAATCTTATTGAGGAATCCACAACCAGACCTTTTGGCTAGCCAAGACCTGACCCACCCGAGTCCGAGCTTACGGCACGTTTTCACCCGAGTTCACCACGGAAAGTAGTGTTCGACAGGGTTGCCTTCTCTCTCTCTCTCCATTTCTATTTAACTTTGTTATATATTTGATTATGGAAACAGTCCTATGCTCATGCGAGGATAGTGGCATCGATTTACTCCTAGGTGGTAGGCTGTCTGAGCTAGAGTATGCAGACGATATTGTGCTACTAAGTGAAGATCCAGGTAAGTTACAAGCTTTTCTGGAAAGTTTGAGTGCTAGCGTCTCCATTTTTGGTATGCGCTTTGCACCTTGAAAGTGTAAAATGCTACTACAAGACTGGGTTGGTCCAGCACCCAGCCTCACTCTAACTGGGGAAGTAATAGAGCAGGTGGATAAGTTTTGTTATTTGGGCAGCTACATCTCACGGATGAAGTGTCTGCTCGCATACAGAAGGCTCGGTTGGCATTTGCTAACTTGAGATATCTGTGGCGCTGTCGCGACATCCGGCTGTCCGTGAAAGGTCCAGTATCTGCTGCAGTAGTTCGACCAGTTCTGCTATGTGGAGCAGAAACTTGGCCATTAAGAAAACAGGACAA